GTTTGGTGCTACCGGAAAAAATATCAGACTCAAAACTCAACAGATAAATTAAAATCCAGATGAGTACAAAGTAAAAATACTAAGTTATAATGGTGGGTTTGACAGAAAGCTTTAAAATGAAGATAGATTAAAAGGCAAGCAAAGTTTTACAGAAATCAATTCGATGGGATTTTGGGATTGGTTTGAGCGAAATGTATGTGGTGTGTGGTGTGGATGCTTGCTTGACACGGAAATCGAAAATCAAAGAAGAGAAAAAGAGTGTCTTTGTGTCGCTGTTTCTTTTGTTGTTTTCTTGATAATTTTTGTTCGCTTTTACAAGAAATCCCCTACCCCCATCTCTCCCTATCAAGATTTTTACCATTAGTCCCCAAATTTGTTGTCTCCATTGCAGGTGATCCTTAAACTTTAAATTTACGTCGAAAATCCTAAGACTAGCCATCTCATATTCGTTGATATTTATTCTATTATTCTTATTTGGACAATGAATTAAACAAAAATAAATTTCATATCCAACTCGGCCAAGTCACTTGGTCACTAGTAGACTGATGGGTCGATATTAGATGATTATTATAAGAATTTTGAATTTTGTTGTTAGTGAAAATTGCTTGATTCATAATAAGCATATTTTTATGTTGTGCTATCGGATCTTTACTTTCAGTTCGATAATTTTTGCCAAAAAAATCTACATATTTTGTTTATTATTATAACGTATTGTCTAAATCATCAATCCGACACTAGATGTACCCTTTCACGGGGCAAAATGTAAAATATTTATAATTCTATAGTAGTTAAAGATCGAGATATTGTTAGTTAAGCAATTAATGTAACTTTGAAGTACGTCAATTATTAAAATAATCGAGTTGGAGATGTAGCTATGAGTATTATAGATTGTCTAATGAGAGTAGTGGAAGTGATTGACACGAGCTCCTCAAAGTGATGGAGCAACTCTGTAACGGGTTTTCAAAGGTTTTTCTGGATTAAATAAAATTATTTATAGTTTATTATAGATCACAAAAACGATGATATTAATGTTTGGAGTTTTTCCTTACAGTAAGACTACAACTTGACTATTTTCCTAATTGAATTTTAGTAACAATCATAATTACCAGCAAAATCATTTGACTACTTTTTACTTACTAATAATCAAAAGTTTTCGAATTGAATCGGCCAACATGTCAAAACTAGGTTCCTATTCTAAGTGAAACCCCCACAATTTCATGGGTTCGATTGCAAACCAGTCCAACTATGTCATCTGATCGGTCCACGATCCAATTTATATAAAATTTAGTCTTAATGACTGGTCATTACAGTTTTTAGAAAATGTAAAAAGGAGCTCATCCGTTTTCAACTGTCAGTTTCTGAAAGTGCTCTCTAATAAGTAATATGAAAGCTAGATCTTATTTTTCAACTTGAATTAGTATTTAAAATTTAAAGCAGAATGTATTTTCAAAAGAATAGTGCGAAGATCTTGACAATGTTTATCATTGAATTTGATGGTACAATTATAACAAAATACTAGGGATCAAGTTGCCACAAGAACAATTTTGAGGACTAATAGTGAAATTTGGCAATACAAGTGCCCCTCCTCGTGGATAACGACCGCCATTATTTATTTATTTATTTATTTTTGAATCAAAGTGCTCAACTATGTACGTTTGGTACTTAATTGCGTCGAGTTGTTGAGCTAGTCATTTACCACTTACTTTACCCCTCTAATTATAACAAATGTTAATAATTAGTGGACGTTGTAAGCACGTTATAAATGAAATTTTATAGTTCACGCATTATTTATTTCTTCGTTTATCTATTAGTATATCACACAAAAAACATTACTAGTCCAACGCATTCATTTAGATTACTTTTCGTTGTCACGAAGATAGAGGAGAACTCAAAAAAATGAATTTGCACACGACTTGTATCATGTGTGACATGTTGTACATTAATTATAATAAACCTCCGTTTGACAATCATTATTTAAAATTTTTTTTAATTCTCACTCATTTTCAATCTATATTTACGCATTTTTTAAAATAATGGCTATAAGTAGTGGCTAAAAACCGAGGTTTTTTTTTTTTTTTTCTTTTCTTTTTAATTTATGGCATTTGTATTTCAAGATACCATTACCATGTCACGTCGGACATAATTTATAAACGACGCAAATAATATAATCCATCTTCGACTCTCATTTTATAAAAAATATTTCCCTCCAAATCATTTTCAATAATATATATATTCATGAGATTCACAATTTTTATACACTGAAGATCAAAGTAGATAAAATGTGTGGTTGAAAAGTTGATAAAAATTGTGAATCCCGTGAAAATGTGGCTAAAATTAATAGATTTTTATCAACGGCTAAAGTTACACAAAATGGGCTAATAAGATCAAACATCATTAATTTACAATCGAATTGTAATTTTTCGAAGAAAAAAAGGTAGAAGAACGAACATAGTTTACAAAAGATATTTAAGTATGCCATAATTCATCAATTAATTTAAGCGTTAACTAAGTAAGCAACCTTGAAAAGTGACATAAAATGTAAAAAATAAAAAATTGTGGATTGAAGAAGTGGTACAAGTAAAGCAATTCATTGCCCGTTCGTTAAGAAACCTCTTCGAATAAATGCATTAGTTGATTCACGTGCACTAATTAACTTTAATTAAATAATTTTGACCTTGACTCCGATAATTTCTTTCCATTGTGAGTGCAAATCTACGTTCTCTTGATCCTTTAATACATTTTTAATATATCATTAAATTTGAGTTTGATTACGAGTTCTTTTACGTCACTCTGTTCAAAAAATTCGACGAACACGTTATCTGTTTTATGCAAATTAAATTAATAAACTTGAAGCGATAAAGTTTATCGTTTACATTTTTCCAAGCGTGCAAATGAAGAAATGCATGAATTTGAACAACACTTATAGATATCACGAATAAATTAAAGTTTTGATGGTCCAAGCTGAAAAGTTCTGAAAGAATACTTCATTTTTTATTCTTTTACGCCTTTTCAATCACACGTATAACTAATGATAATGTATAGATCATTTTAAGGTTGTATAATTAATTAAAACAAGTAAACAAGATTATCAAAAGTGTTAAGCACACAAACTAATCCCGATCCTTTATAAGTTGTAGGTCGACTACGTAAATTATTTTACGAAATATTCTTTTGTAACTTCTTAATGGTCATATTTGATGTGATAAACTTCTAACAATCTAGTATTTGTTAAAAGTCAGATCTTCGGTGGATTTTATAAGCTGATTTCGCACATCACATAATCGAAAGAGGTCGGAATTCGTGTAACTCAGGAAATGGGACAAAACAAAACCATTTTGGTGAAACCTATGACTTTAAAGTGATAAAAGTTGTGGATGCCATAAAATATTCGATTAAAATTAATGATTGATTTTTTTAACTTATTTTTTTATTAATTTTTTTTAGTTAAATCAAACCTAAGCTCAGTGTAATTCTAAAAGTTGAAAAGATAAAGTGACGAAAACAAATACAGAAACTTAATTGACACGTTCTTTTTATATTATCATATTTAGCTCTTGTTTGGTGGAGACTAAAATTAGAGTTTTAACAAATTTTGATAAAATCAATGAAATATATGGTTGAAAAGTTATGGATCTTATAAAATAAGTGGTTTAAATTAATTATTGATTTTGATTTTGATTTTTAATTAAAACTTAGATTATAATTTTTATCAAACATGGGCTAATTTGATTGTGAACAAATTTAAATCGGTAACGAGTGTACTTTGTGGATAAGTACACGGTACGTGTAATAATAGTCAAATATAATTGGTTGGAATAAATATCTAGATCAATGTTTCAAAAAGTGACGCAATAGTCTTATTTTGCACTCCACTTACTTTATAATTTTTTTTCCTAGTGCGGATAAGAAAATAGAGTTAAATGTTTAGTTGGTTATTGAATTTGTACATAAGTCAAGCTTTACTAATTGAACTTTAAAATATTCAGAAAATTACACATAACTTTAGATTTAAAGTACCAATTTCATAAATCC